AAGCATTCAATGACTAGTGGTCGGTATTTATATAGAAGTAAACCGCAGCAATCCTGGCAAGTAGTTTAAGTAGCCACAACTTTTCATAAAATGGGATTTTCTTATATCCTTTGTGGCTGTTAAATAGGGGTCCCCCAAGGTTGCCCTTTATTGCATCATCTCAGTGATATAAGTAAAGTGCATGCCTCCCCCTCATGTAGTTTATGTTACAACTCAAAACTCTGCATACATGTAAAATTGATTCATTTTGTAAATATGAAACCATGTAACCGTTCTCTATCAGGGTCTTATGGGAATATATGCTGTGATGAACGTGTACGGTAGGTAAATTATACATGTTCAATTTTGACAAAAATGTTAACTCGGTGCGTCTTTGGGCTCGTAGTAAACAAAAATACCATAAACTTGGGACGGATGTTAAATTTACGTCATTTCAAAACGCAGCTGTTTCTTTGGATAGGTCTCTTGTCCTCTCCTCTATCAACAGTAGGCTTGTTCACTCCCCTCCCCTCAAAACAGTTCAAAATACCGCTCCTTGGTAATATACTTCTCACCTATTTATTTGATATTTTTTTTACAAAAACACGACACGTTTTACAGATGCGTAATATATTCTTCATTCGCACTTATTTGTCAGAAATTCGTTTTCTTTTTATTAATTTCTTTCCATTTCTGTTGGTACTTTGGAGAGTGAAACTGTTATGCGTATACGAATGGTTTAGTGATAAAAAATACATTTTCTGTGCAATTTTCAAATGTACGAATAGATAGAACCTAGAGGTCGCTGACCATACGAGCTATATGTCTTCAAAGCGACAACGGAGGGCGACTTTTAACCCTTGGTCGATAAATTTGCAACTTACAAGAAAAGAATAAGAAAAGCGGAATAAATTGAAGGATAAGATTTTTATTTCCTTCTCCTCAGACAGACATAAAACAGAAAATGACCGGTTTGATCGGTTCTTCACCCGCCACCCATGGCTGAGCAGGGAAACTGTATTACCCGCACGTCAGCAGGAATGCAACATTTTCAAAAGCACCACTATTTTTTTCTTAAAAATATCTCGGTCAATTAATTAAATATATAGATTGCATTCAGTGTTTGTCGGGTTAATTTGACAAAAATAACAAGGATCTCCGCACGTTAGTTATTGTTAGTTTTATCGCAAATGCATCTTACCGATTGCGTTGACAGCGACTGTAAGGTTTGAATGACATTCTAAAGATAGCAAAGTGTTTTTTCACCTAGAGGAGCCCAACCTGACAATGGTTGGTTTGCATCACTGCCTGTGTTGTTTTCTAATTACAATTCAAAATCATGATCTTGAAAGGTCAATGTCATAAACAGCGTAATAGGTCAATATGGATTACAACGCTGATTGTATCAAATGTAGTCCATGAATTTATTAAAACTTTTTTAACAAAATAAATTAAACACCCTGTGTAGATTTCTTTTCAAGACACAAAACTCAACCTTCAACCCTGAGAGTACATATTATTTCAAGAAGTGATAATTTTATAATATTTAAAACCATTTCTTTGTCCCGTCTATCTGAAAGATTTGTGAAAGCCTGAATTATTTGTAAGACTTAAAACATGCCACCTTAAGTTAAGTAGTTTTTATTTGACCATAGTGATGATAATGCTTTTGAAGTGGGACTTAAAATTTTGACAATTAATTTTGAAACTTAAGAGGTCGATACCTGTGGCGTGTTTATTACGGATCAAAAAGTAATCGGCTTGTCTCAAACTCTATTTGCTACAATTTGACCTTGACATCAATACGTGGACTCTAAGCTCCTTTTCTCCAAGGTGACGTTCAAACCATATTTAAAGTACGTTAGAATTTTATAAAAAGAAATTTGCACCACTCAGCTCAATTTAATGCAGGTCGGATTAAAAGGAAGCTTCATTTCATGAATTCAAGATAATGAAAGATAAAAAAAAAACTTGATATTTTTATTAAAACATAACAATGCCATTTCATAGAAATTATTAAATCTCATTCATTTGTAAAATGTACATTTCATATATGAAATTAGATTCAATACACTTAATTAAAGGTGTTGACATGGCAAACATTAATGAAAAAGTAAACTCAGATACGAATTTCACGATTAGGATGCACGACATCAGTGTCGTTTGTCCACCATTGAAAGGTGTATCTCCATGATTTCCACATTTCTCTAAATATTGCACCTTTTGATAATGAGACATGCGTTAAGTCCAATTATATATACGTAAATGCTTTTGCGTCCTCTTGCAAAGTCATTTCATGGATTGTGGACGGTTAAACAGAGTCACCAACAGAGTACAAAGCCTTGATCTTTGGATTTCATATTGTCTTTGAAAATTTATTATAATATCTACCTAGCTAAATAAGTTACTTCTGTATCACGGTAATTGCAATATTATCCGATGTGCAGAAGGAAGGGTAGGAATTGGCCCTATTCCTCGCTAGCTGAGCACAGTATAAAGGTTTACAATAGGACGGCAGGAAACTGTCGTCAAAGTTCCGGTGATCTGCTATGTCCCGTATAAGCCTGAGGCAGACGTACATCTGACGGATCCGAACGTTTCTACCGAGCCCACGCCGCCTTCTAGATTTCACAACCTCTACAAAAAAGAAAAGGGAGGGGTTACATTAATGTTTCTCCACTTTTGCAAAATCCAGTCGTACGTTTGTACAACTGCAGTTTTAGAAATGCATTACGTGTTAAAATCTGTATAACAATGTGAAAGTAAAGATTAAAGACTTAAACATGGAAACAATTCAAGCTGTTACATTTACCCTTTTGGGGTTCCACAGGCGCATGCCTCTTGGACAAAGCATGTTCTAAGGGCGCGGATTCACAGAGTACAACCATTAAAGAAATGCACAGAATACAGCAAATTATAATTTTGGATGCGTCCATTGTTTTCCTGGAATGAAGAGAAGATAGTTACTTTTAAACGTTTTTAAGACGTATTATGAAAGAATACATGTATTTATAGTAAAAAAAGAGACTTTTTGTGGGTGAATTGGTTCATTTACTTAAAGGTGGGCCAGAAGTACAAAAGGATTGTGGTTAACCGTGGTCAATTACTGAAACCAGCTGACATGACAGATTTCTGTTTTAAAATGTTACGTACTTTCTAAACATGCTGAATAAAATATTTACTTAAATTATTTCTCCGTATAGCACGTCTTTAAAGGGAATGGATCGGTACTGAATTTCGTACAAGAATTATGTAATACCGGTTCGGAGTTCTTCAGGCTAGAGCTTTGTTGTAACCATATAGTAAAAATTATTTCAATAGACCATTGACGAACTATAATATTTATATTAAATAAAAATTATTTCAATAGACCATTGACGAACTATAATATTTATATTAAATACAGAGAAAGTTTCAAAAACTAAACATGACCCTATACACGCAACATCGTGCTTTTTTCCTTATTAGTGTAGTTTCATGCTATTTATCCAATAAAATTAAATTAATCATCATAATTAGAAATTTCAAGTTCATATTATACTAATCAAAACGAGAACAAATAACGTATTTTAAAAAAAAAAGACTTACAATTTGGAATAAGTTACGATGTCTTTTGGCCTCCTTGCCCAAAACTTCTTGATTCCGGATCAGCTGGTGTCGGTGCGATCGACTGTTCCTGGATCGCCGAACCCTTATATACCCCAATGCCGGTTAGGTGAGGCCCATCGACGGGGGCTAATTTAGGGGTGGTGAGATCTTCCCGTCATTTATATTGGTTAACTGCATTTGAATTACCCCGTTTAAAACTGATGTCCTTGAAATGTTACATGTTCGCTGTGCGTTTGCAAATCGGTACGAAATTAAAATATTGCACAGCCGTAGGAGGTGTGTCACCCTGAACCAGTCATGCAGAAAACAGGTCAAATAATCAGCTGATCATGCCGGTGCAAATTCTCCAGCTAACTTGAAATCGTGTTTTTGCAAGTACTACAATAGACAAAAATATGTTTATCTAACCCCGGAACACATCAAATTCTTTTCTTTTTTTCAAGGATTTTTCCTTTCTTTTTATCAAAGATGTTTTTTGAAGTCAATTTCTAGTGACTCAGATAGGAAATACCCCGAATGTTCGGGAGATTGGGGGATTTGGACTGAAACCATTTACTTCGTAATACTAAACTTGAAATTTGAATATTCTTTTGAGGATGAAAAATTAATAAAAGACACATCTTTAACATAAATCCAAGTTCTTTATTAATGATGAGTCATTTTATTCATTAGAATGGGATTAACAAGCTAATTCAGAGAATTCGTGTCCCCCGCTTAGGGAAAAAGTCGACTCCCCCTGACTGAATTTGTAGAATTATTAAATGTATACATGTATACTGAAGGAAATAAAATACATGTATGTCAATATGCATATAAAGATTTGATTGCTTATTCTTTATTATGTGTATAGAAGATTTTTTTATATGGAATATTTATCACACTGTAATGATGATTTTATAACCTCATAAATTTTTCATTTCACATGCTGAATACTATCATTTAGTAAAAAAAAAAAGTATTTAAAAAAAAAAAGAAAGAAAGGTTCGACCTAGATTCGATCCCGGGACTTCTCACACTTGAAGCGAGAGACATAACCACTAGACCACTGAGTCGCTTTACTTGGGGTGAGGTATATGCAGAACTGAAGTCACAAACATGTATATATTCATGTTTTCATGTTCGGTATTCTCAAAATTTTACACAATCCATGGTGTTTGATTTATTTAGCCTTTATTAAACAGTTATAATAGATGTAATAAGAACATAAAGTCCGCCGAGAACCTGTTTTATACGCAATAACTCTCCTCATGCCCCTGCGCTAAAAATAGCGACATGTAATACTATAAATACTAATAAAACAAACGGGGCGGGGCACTTTGAGAGGGGCGAGAGACGTCCTAGGGAGTTTTGGTGTAAAATTACATTGCATAAGCTCAGAATCTTCTTGAAATATCGCCCGGAAATGATAGTGTTACACACAGACAGAATGTATAAATTTACGACCTTGAACTTTGACCTTTTGACCTCAAAATCAATAGGGGTCTTCTTTAGGCCACAGGGAGTTGTTATGTAAAATTTCATTGCGATAGCTCAAATGGTTCTAGAGATATCGTGTGGAAACGAAAGTGTTTTAACAGACAGAATTTGCTTATTTATGACCTTGACCTTTGACCTTTTGACCTCAAAATCAATAGGGGTCTTCTTTAGTCGATAGGGAGTTGCTATGCTAAATTTCATTGCAAAAGCTCAAAGGGTTCTCGAGATATCGTGTGGAAACGAAAGCGTTACAGACAGACAGAAAGACGGACGGACGGACGGACGGACGGACAGACGGACGGACGGACAAACCCAAATTAATATCCCCCACTTTTCAAGCGGGGGACAAAAAGGTAATATTAAAGTAGGGAAAGATCTATATGCTAGATATTTGTCAAGGTCATTCGCTACCTTGCAAACCTGACTGAATCATGTTGAAGGTATCAGTAGATTTTGAAGTAGTTAAGAATTTGTAGCATTTTCATAACCTGCATTGGTGGAAAGATCCATTATACACGCAGCGCAACACAAAAAATTAAGCATCTTTGTTGGATATTTTTGCAGATTTAAGTTCTTTTTTTTCTCAAGAAATATACAGCCCTATGTATTAAATTAATTTTTTTTGTTTTAATTTTTAGCACAAATTAGCTAAATGATGTAGGCAAGTTGTCGCATAATAAAGGGTTTTGTGTAAATATATATATCTGTTGTTTATATTTGCGATGGTCGAAGGCTCAAGTGAGCTTTTCTGATCAACATGGGTCCGTTGTCTGTCGTTGTCGTTGACGTCGTCGTCGTAAACTTTTCACATTTTCATCTTCTTCTCAAGAACCACTGGGCCAATTTCAACCACACTTGCTACAAAGTATCCTTGGGTAAAGGGGATTCAAATGTGTTCAATTGAAGGGCCACACCCTCTTCTAAGGGGAAATAATTATGAATTAGTGAAAAATTAATGGCATCTTTTAAAATTCTTCCTCTCAAGAACCACTAGGCCAGGAAAGATGAAACTCATGTGGAAGCATAGTCAGGTAGTGTAGATTCAAATTTGTTCAAATCATGACCCCCAGGGGTAGGGTGGGGCCATGATGAGGGGTCAAAGTTTAACATAGGAATACATAGGGAAAATCTTTAAAATCTTCTTTACAAGAACCTGCACTGGGCCATGAAAAATGAATTCATGTGGTAGCATCCTGTGGTAGTGTAGATTCAAGTTTGTTCAAATCATGACCCCCAGGGGTAGGATGGGGCCACAATGGGGGATCAAAGTTTAACATAGGAATACATAGGAAAAATCTTTAAAATTCTTCTTCTCAAGAACCACTGGGCCAGGAAAGATGAAACTCATGTGGAAGCATCCTCAGGTAGTGTAGATTCAAGTTTGTTCAAATCATGACCCCCAGGGGTAGGGTGGGGCCACAATCGGGTATCAAAGTTTAATATAGGAATAAATAGGAAAAATCTTTTAAAAATCTTCTTCTCAAGAACAGCAAAGCTGTGATTGTTCATATTTTTATGGAAGCATTGGGTAGTGTAGATTCAAGTTTGTTCAAATTATGACCAACCAGGAGAATAGATGAGCCATAAAAGTGGATCATAGTTATACAAAGGAATATAAAGCCTATATCAGTAAAAAATTTTATCTTATAAACAGCAAAGCCATTATGTATCGTATTTATTTAAAAGTATCCGTAGGAAGTATAGACAGAAGTTTGTTAAAATACCCCCATCCTCCCTTGAACCCACTCTTATATTTAAACTTTTCCATACTTAACTGATTTTTGTCCCCCACTTGAAAATTGGGGGATATTAATTTGGGTCTGCAGGCGCGTAGCCAGGCGTACGTTTGTACGCACAAACGTCCACATCATTTTTCAAAAAAAAAAAAAAAAAGAAAAAAAAAAGAAAAGAAAGAAAGGAGAGGAGAGCGAGACAGGCGTAATATTGTAAAGCGTACTCATGATTTTTGCAAAATATAAGTAAATAGTTTCATAAATAAAAAAAAAACAATTTAGAATTAACGATAAAAAAAATAAATGTAAATAAACAGAATCAGTTTTGGGGGGAAATACGATATTATACACCTAACTGAAATCAAAAGATTTTCCCGGTTTACTATCGAATATTGCTGATTTTTTTCCAAGTGTAATTACATTCTTAAAGAGTTTCTCTATTGTATATTTTAATATTAATGTAAGCTGACTATCAGTCAATTACGTGGTCTGTCTAAACCAGTCAACCACTATAATCAACTACCGTATGTTATCATACGTATTTTATCCTGCTTTAAAAATCTAAAATTGGTTTAGTGGGTTTGCTTTGGACAGATCTTTTTTCTCATTTTTGAGTGACTGTCCGCATTTTGTACAAGGAAAGAACAGACGTTAAATAGGGCTGCGTAACAAACCAAAAAAGTGCAAGAAAAATGCTATCAGAAGGGTCAAACATGCACATCGAAATCGTCGAAAATTCAACAGCTTCCGGGGGCTTTGCCCTGGACCCATTGGTGGCCTTAAGGCGGCCCCAAACCCCCAGCCTATCCAGGCGTCCACATCAAATGTACCCTGGCTACGCCCCTGCATAGTTTGTCAATTTATTAATTTTAGTGATTACTTATTAATGAAATATAATAGGATATTCATATTTGACACAGTATGTAATAAATTGTGGCATCTAATTCACTAAGACACAGAAAGCGAGGACCAAATTCTTACACTTACACAACGTACGGGTAAACAGTAATGTACCTTAAAAAATTCTCAAAAATAAAGCTAATCGTCAATCGTCAATCCCTAGACTGTGACCTTAGATAGTTAAATTATGCCTTAACAGATGCGCAAATACTTAAACAGAAATAAAGTAAGAATGAATAGGGATCAACGTAATGTAACAAAGGACAAACATCTTTGTCTCCATCATTCATTTTGCACGTACGCCATTTTCTGATTAATCTGTTTGTCCGCAAAAACTTAAACCTTCATAACCTTTGATTGGTTGAGACTATGGCTTTTATATTTCAAACGACTGTGTATAATTTGTGACAGGATCTCTCTTTCGGGACCACCAAATTTGAACTTATGACCTTGACCTAGGAATTTGACCCACTTTTGCAAAATTTTGACTAACTTAAACCTTGAGTATACCATTTGAACAGTTGGGACTAGGGCTTTTATACTTCACATATGTAATCCTTGTGACAAGTCCTTCCATTGGATGCCAACAATTTTAATCCTTTGACCTTGACCTAGGATTTGACCTACCTTTTAAAAAACTTAAACCTTGGCCAATACTTTTGAACAGTTAAGAGAGTTATCATACTACAAATATGCTATTCTAGTGACAAAACTTTCTTTTAGATACTGGTACTAACAACTTTGACAATAATACATGGGACAAGACCTTCCTAGATACAAACAACGTTGACCCTTGACCTTCTTTAAGACCTTCCTTTAGAAACCAACAACTTTGACCCGTTGACTTTGGCGTTTGACCTACTTTTAAACTTTGCTAGAACTTTTGAAGATTTGGTGCTAGAGCTTTCATATTTCACAAGTGTATTTCTCGTGAGGAGACCTTACTTTGGGTACCAGCATATTTGATTTGCCTTTGAGAAAGTTTTACATTCGCTATATTGTAGATGTCCTGACACATGCCTGAATATTAAACTTTTCCGTTATGAATATAATTTTT